GTCTGAGTAAAAAGTTTCTCGGAGACGGTTAACAATATACAATCAAATATTATTCACATGTATAAATTAGCAATTAGGGAGTCTTATTTAAATGCATATATATATAGCTACATAAATTATTCAGAATTCGAAAGATTATATTTCTGTAAAGTCTTTTGAAGCATTAAAACTTTGGAAAAGAACATATTTCATAGTCATTATATGACAAAGCTCAAACTAAAATCCTTAGTATTTTTTCAAAATTTCATCGAAGACTAATATCACATTCTTTCCTGGTAGTCGAACATCAAAGCACGGATATTTATTTCATGAAATTCGTGTAAGTGATTTCCTAGAAACGGAAGTGTTTTTTGGAAGCTTGTTTAAATCATAGATGTCTATTTATCAATAGAATAAATCGTTTCGTTGTGTAAAATATAATAAATATCTGTTGTATTTGAAATAAAGGGGCAATTATTTTCTTATAAATATCATCTTTCTGTTTAGCGTACATCCAGTCAGAAGCTTTAGAGGAAAATTTCCGTAAATGCGCATGATCCAATCTGAAGCTTTAGAAGTGGTTTCGTCAAAGGTCAACGTGTCCAAAAAAAATTTTTTTATAGTAGCTCCAAAACTATGTGAGGTATAAAGTTGAATCTTTTACAGTTTTTATAATATATCATTGATTAACAGATAGAAAGTATCACCTGATAACAAATACTTAGGAAAAAAATATTTATCGAGAAAAATTCTTTTAAAAAATGCAAATGTATTTTTTAAAAAAATACACCTAATTATTGCAGAAACAATAAATGTTTATCAATGAAGGGCAAGCTGGACTTCGATAGCCTCTGGAAAGTTGTTTTCCCTGTTTATTTTGTCCAAATATTAAGATTTGAAACCGAAAGTACATTGCAAATGGCGGATTTTATAGGGGTCTTGTCTTTATACATATCTTGTTTTCAGTCACAGCCTTTCAGAGACCATTCACGTCCAACTTGCCCTTCTTTAATAAACATTTATTATTTCTGCAATTATGGTTTTCACAAAAAGGACAGAATCAAGCAGGTGTTTTTCTTGAAATATTTTTCTTGAAATATGCATTTTTTTTTCTCAAAAAATATCTTTTTAGAATATTTGTTTTTAAATGATACTTCCTATCTCTTAGTCAATTATATATTTATAAAATGTAAAAGTTTATATTTATACCTCGAATAGTTTTGCAGCTATTGTAAAAAAAAAATGGACATATTGACCATAGACGAAACCGTAATGATCTTTACTTTGTAACAATCTCTTTTTTCTTAAGGTACAACCTTTAAAAACTCATGAAACACATAGAGATAACGAACAGGATTCAAGATCAAAAGTCCATAAACCAAGAATAAAAAACAGGCACAAGGGACTTATAGGTCACCTGAGTATCATGTTACAACTTTCCAACAATTGAATTTGATTCGTGTTTTAAACCAGAGGCCATAAAATTTACAATTTTGAAAGAGGCACCATTGTTTATCATAATTATACACTTAACATGCTTACTTTGGTTACTTATTATCCAGAGGTAGAACACAGTAACAAAGAGAAAATGCATTTCCACTTTGTAACAAGTTGTGCACCCAATCCCACAGGAACCACTGATCCTGGGACCACATATTTCAAAATTTTGGAAATTTTATCATGAATTTTATCTCATAAATTGTTGATAAACACCAAAGTACATATTTCAATGCATTAATTTATTTTCAGACTATGTACCCCTCCCCGGTATCCCTGACTCAGGGGCCCTGAAATTAACCATTTTGGAAGAGGCACCTTTCTTCATCATAAATATGTACTTATATCTTTGGCATAATACGAAGGAGCAAAGGAAAATATTTTCAAAGTATTCATTTTCATTATATAAACAATAAAGTCCCGCCCTAACACGAGAAGCCCTGCCTCAGGGGCCATGAAATTAACATATCTCAAAGAGGCATCCTTCTTCCTCATAACTATGTACATAGTTCACTGGTTTAATACCCAGGCGCAGAAAAGAAGATTTTCAAAGAAAGAATTTACACAGGACGAAACACCCCCTTTAAGCAATCGCTTAATGGTGGCTTATAGGTGCTTAATGGAATTAACACCATTAAGCTACCATTACGCTGCAAATTACAGGTGCTTAATGTCCAAACTTCATTAAGCTACCATTAAGCCACCTTTAAGCTGAGCTTAGTGGTTACTTAATGGTCAAACCTCATTAAACTTTTATGCATCTTATATCGAATCTTTGAACTAACTTTTTAAATTATTTCAATATCATTTACGGAAAATTTATTTCAACTCATAATTTTTGTCTCGGTCGTAATTTCTTTATAACATTTTTGTCAACACGCATAAACTCGCGCACTGAGAACAAAGTTAGCAAATAGCCATAGGGGCTTGCTCCCGGTGTCTTATAAGTATTTATTTAAAAAAAATCATTTATTCTATTAATAAAACAAGACATGCTTTATCATTACCGTATATGATTTTATTTGAAATAAATAATTATTACTTGCGGTGTTTTTATTATTAGTGTATACGATTTTTTTAAAATAAATAATTATTACACGCCGGGAGCAAGCCCCTTTGAAATATTTTAATATTTCACTACCGAAAATCAAATTGTTCTTAAAATTATCTTTATCCATGAACACAAAATATATATTACTTTTTTTTCCTGTGTTAAAAGCAACATTCTGCTACAGAATTCACATGAATATAAAGTCATTCATATGTTCTCATGAAAAAAAAATCTGTCTTTTTTTCGGGGGGGGGGGGGGGGCTACCGGTATAAAAATGATAAAAATGTTAAGTTTTCAAAGATTGACTTTTACATCATGAATATTTTGAATTAGTTCGTTATTTTAAAAATTATATAATGCAGCGGTAAGTATCTGTCAAAATCTAGTCGGTCTTCAATGATTGTTATTTCAAAATCGATTTTCAGAAGAACAGCCGATCAGATTAAACATGACATCTATTAACATTGAGAAACGGGGTAATATTAACAGTGTACAGTATACCGACTGGTTAGACAATAGACCTTAATTAGGTGTGTCCACCGTCCCTGGTTAACTAACAGGAAACTATACATACACAACGTACACTAACAGATTTTGATGATCAATTATTTTTACAAAATTTAAATTTAACGCAAGCATATAACAAATTAAAAAGTATGATTCATTGTAAAAGGACAATTATTTTGATACCCATCATGATACAAAAAGAATTTAAACTGAATTTGATATTCTAAAAAAAAGTTTTTGTAAACGTAACCAGGTAACTAAATTGTCACTAAATTGTAGACACAAAAACCGTTAATATCCGCAGCATATTTAAAAATAGTAGAATCTGTTTTTTCATCTTTCTTTTTCGATGATAGATTTTGTGCTCTATCTATAATTAATATACATTTGTAATTTCAATCATGATTAATGCTTAACGTACATGTATAAATCTTCGAAAAACAGATCGAAGAATTCATTACATCAATCTAAAAGCCGAACTCAACGGTTTAGAAACATTAATGTGATATATGCCTTTTAAAAAGGCACATAAATAAAACTGTTTATAATTTGATTAATAAATCAATGCAAGACTTTGGAAACGTTCAACAAAATGAATATTTTTCAAGTCCAAATAAATTTTGTGAACAATAAAGGTTTAATATTTTCAATTTAAAGCAAGAGCCGTGATAGCCCAGTGGTTAAGGCGGCTGCCATCTACATCAAAGTTCATGGGTTAGCGCCCTACATGCGGTGATTTTTTTTTTGTTTTTTTTTTTTTTTGAATTTTGCATTTCGTTCTTTTTCATTACTTTTACCAAATCAAGATATGTGTGAACTCGAAATTTATAATTTTAATAATAAATCGCTATAAAAATAAATTTTCACCCATAAAAACGGTATTATCGACTGCGTAATGGTGGCTTAATGGTAGCTTAATGGAGTTTGGACATTAAGCACCTGTAAGTGTAGCTTAATGGTAGCTTAATGGTGACTTAATGGTGGTCTAAGAGCTACCATTAAGGACCTGTAAGCCACCATTAAGCTACCATTAAGCTACATTTAAGCACCCATTAAGGACCTTGAGATGGCTTAATGATAACTTAATGGTGGTGTAAATGTTACTTAAAGGTGCTTAATGGTGACTTAAAGACAACCATTAAACCATCATTAAGGACCTATAAGCCACCATTAAACCAGGCTTTAAGGGTGTGTTTCATCTTGTGTTAATTCATTTTCACTATATAACCTATAGCCCCGCCCTAACATTATAACCCCTTACCCTGGGGCCATGAAATTCACAATTCTGGAAGAAGCAGCCTTATTCAATATATTAACTATGCACTTGGTTAGTTTATTTAATGCCCATGAGCAGAGATGAATTTCAAAGAATTTATGTATTTTCACTATATAGTCTATATAGCCCCGCCCTAACACTAGAACCCCTGACCCTTGGGCCATGAAATTAACAAATTTGGAAGAGGCAGCCTTATTCAACATAACTATGCACTTGGTTACTTTATTTAAGTACAGCTATTTATAAGAACCAGGCAGAAATGAAAATAAGTGATTGATGATAGTAATAGATTTTTCAAAAACTATCATATTTACATTAAGATACATCAAACTAAATACTTGATCACAGTTATAAATGGATTTCATGCATAATTGATTAAAAAATGAATTCAATACATATTGAAACAGTCAACAATATCCATTGAAAGGTGTCTGTACGTGCAGGTGATTTTTTAAGAAGGCCCGCACTCTCCTTGAATGTGAATTATAAGATATTGAACATCTAGTATCAAAGAGTAAAAAACAATTAAAAAACCCATGGGTTATTTTAGTTACGAATAGATATTGGGATTTTAAATTATGTAAAAACATGAAATTCTAGTTATCTCCCTTGGCACTCTTTAGTAAAAGGAGTTGGAAAGAGTGTATATCTAACTCTTCAGTTTAGAAGGTGAGGATTAAGACTTCATCTTCATTTTGGAAGTTTTGCCGCTTTTCATACATCCAAGGGGCATGTAAGTCTAAAATTTTTATTAGAAAAATATAAGCCTAGGATAAAAAATAACTGCCTGCAATTTGCTTAATTTTATCTGACAAAAACAAAATTTTATTTCCTAAACATGCTAAATGAGAACAGAGTTTGAGTGCTTTGAAAAAGACTAACTTGTTTAACAATAACATCAAAACTACTTAAATTCAGTTAATTTTGGGAAAAAAACATTTAATTTTGTACTGGAATTTGAACAGTAGCTCGCTGCTGGGGATTACAGTATGATGAGTATCTCTCCTTTCCGTCGATACTCCCTTGGTGCTGCAATATACACAGTCGACTGGAAGAAGTCCTCGACCTCAGCATACATGAAGTCATAGCAAGAAGCAGTGAAAGCCACAGCAGAGATTGGATGGAGCATAATTTTTTCTATGTATCGGCGCTTCTATGGATGTCATATTTAGATCAGGTATTTAATACATAACTTGGACTAATGTCTAAACAAAGACACTATTGACTATTTTTTTTTCAAATTGAAAAAAGGGGAAAGTCAAGAAAAATTAATAGCAAACATACAGGCTGACTGCTAGTAAAAGTTATCAGTCCTGCTAAAATTCTACCAGCCTGAGAAAATAATTGTCTTTTGTAAAATTGATTTTTGAGACTAGAGGTACTGTGAGCAATGAGCAAATGATACCCCCGGCCTCCCATATGAATATACTAGTACTTGCTGTAGGAAAGTATTATATTAATAATGCCAAATGGGGAAGGGGGGGGGGCGGCTTCCCAAATATTCCTACAAGCAAATATGTACACATATAGAAAGAGAGAGATTTATAGATATGAGAGCACATACAATATGCATGGGTTTCTGTCTAATTTAGGTTAAAACTTAAAAAAATAAAATTTAATCATACAAAACTATAACTCTTTTTCAATTTATAACTAATAGTATGAATTCATGAAGATATCACTAGTACATGGGGGAGCGGAGAAGGTAAATAAATATTTACTATCAATAATTCAAAAGCTTAATTGTTATATAAATGTATGCATTCTCTTGTCATATGATGAATTTCATGATTTGTTTTCATTTCAGATGAGATCTGAGCCTTGTTCTGAATTTCAAAATCCCCTTTGACAACACCTGCACAGCTGAGGTAATGTAAACTTAAAAATTGAGGACAACCGTCACCAAGAAAAGATTATCAATTCAACTAACTTTAGTGTTATATTTACTTTATAATATGTTTTACGGCGTGACCGTTGAGGCGAGCGCAGTTGTACCATCAAAACACTTGAAAAATTGATCAGCCACTTCAAACATCAAGTCGCACGAGATATCTCGACTAGCTTTGACGTCACATGACGTCACGGAGCTCGTCGGAGCTTACGGAAACGGCCGAGTGTCTGTTTTAAACTATAGATCTAGCACAATTTCGGTCGAAAAACATTGCAGAGTTATTTTTTGTTTCTTTGAAAGATTTCTACAAACTGAAAGCTTTTTTATGCTTTACGTTATTGTTTATTTATTTATCTATTTCACGGAAGCAACCGGCATGACTTAATTAGCATATCGTCAAAATTCGTAAGTTTCCGGTGACGTCATTTGTATCATTTCCGAAGGGCAAGGTGGAAGCCGGTGTTGTGGCATGGGGGTATTTTTTTGAATAAGGTAAGGCAAAATCATTTCGTTAAGATTTCGGTAAGAAACAATGTTCCTTTATTTTTTTTACTATTTTTGATTAATTCGTGCAAAGGACATTGGGTAGTGCAGGAATTCGGAATCCCCTTTGACAACACCTGCACAGCTGAGGTAATGTTGCACAGAGAAATTTGGCTGACGTATGTACAGATTTCAATCCGAATTTCCTCTGTTCTTACACGTTAGTCTATTGAGCTCGCGACGCTCGCTATTATTTATGTATCATTAGATAATTCGGTATTTTGTGTTGACAACTTGCATTTTTTTTAAAATTATCATTATTTAAGAACATTCCTTTTCGTTTAGCAATCAACGACCTTCTGACTAAGGGCTGAATTATAGTGAAAACTGCCTTTCAGAGACTTTGAAACAGGTATTTCTTCTGACCTTGATTCTCTGAATTTTTTAGCTCACCTGGGTGGAAGGCTCAAGTTATCTTTTCTGATCAAATTTGTCTTTTGTCTGTCATTGTCATTCTTCAAAGGGAGAGAATTACAAAATTACCCCGGTAATAGCATTAATGATATCTTCTCAAGAACCAATGGCCCAGGAAATATGAAACTTATGTCGAACCATTGTCGGGTAGTGTAGATTCAAATTTTTCAAATCATGAACCCCAGGTTGATCGGACGGATGATCAAAGTTTAACATAGTATTATATAAAAAAAATATTTTAAAATCTTCTTCTCAGATACAGCAAGCCTTGATTGGTAATATTTATATCAAAGCATTTTCAGGTGGTGTAGATTCAAGTTTAATCAAATCATGGCCCGGGGATAGGGTGAGACCACAAAGGCCAATAAAAGTTTTAAATATGAATATAGAGAAAAATCCTTTAATAGAAATATTCTTCTTAAGAACAGAAAAGCCAGTAAGTTATATATACATATGGAAGCATTTTCTCGAAGTGGAGATTTGTTCAAATCATGACCCCCCCCCCCCTCCCCCCAGGTTTAGGGTGGGGCCACAATAAAAGTTCAAACTTGTAGGGAAAAACTCACAATTAGTCAAAAATAAGTACCCCGTAAGCATCCTTAGTGTATATTCAGTTATGTTCAATCATACCCCTCCTTCTCTCTCTCTCTCCCTAACAGGGAGAGGTCAGGACCACATATGCTTTTAAGCTTTTCAATACAAAGCTGACTTTTGATTTTTATCCAAGCCAGGAGAGTGATGTGGCCCTGGGTCTCTTGTTTAATCATTTATCTACACATATATGTACAGTACAACTCGGTTATAACGAACTCACTGGGACCTGTAAAAGTACTTTGCTCTATTCATAATTCGTTATATCCATATTTGTAATTTGTAATATTTATATAGTTGGGGATCCAAGAAGACTTCACTATATCTGTGAATTCTCAATGTCCGTGTTTGTACTAAACAATTTTTACTGCAGTTACATGTATGTGGAAGCCAAATAGGAGTAAAAGATGTATTATTGTAAATGTAACACAGTGTCATCTTCATTATTTTGTTCAAGCCATACAAATGTTTCTTTGAATATTGGAAAACTAAAATTAAAAGAAAGTAAGAAATTTAATTTTATAAAATGCAGCATATCTAAACAAAATTTTTGCTGTTGAAAAAAAACCTTTTCAGATGAGCAAGGCTGTAATAGTCATACTAATATTCAGAATCAAATAACAGCTAACTACTTAAGGCAAGGATGGGGTGAGGGTTAAAGAAGGGGTTACATCACTTGAAAATTGAGAGAAGAATTGTAGAGCTGAGGTTTTTCTCAAGAACCACAGGGCCAATTTTTACCAAACTTGGCAGGGCTAAGACCCCTTATAAGGGGTGATAATCAAGAAAAGAGAAAAATAGGGACTGGGTCAGAAAAGCTGAAACTTATGTTAAAGCAGCCTCGTGGGGATCCGGGTTAGAATAGGTCCTCAGTACCCCCTTGCTTGTCGTAAAAGGCGACTAAATGGGACGGTCCTTCAGATGAGACCGTATAAACCGAGGACCCGTGTCACAGCAGGTGTGGCACAATAAAGATCCCTCCCTGCTCAAAGGCCGTCAGTGCCGAGCATAGGCCTAAATTTGCAGCCCTTCACCGGCAATGGTGACGTCTCCATATCAGTGAAATATTCTGGAGAGGGACGTTAAACAGTATACAATCAATCATTATGTTAAAGCATCCAGGGATTAAGTGTAGATTCTAAATTGTTTAAATCATGTCCCCCTCCCCCTAAGAATAGACCTAAACCACAATAGGTATTACTAATTAGTAGGAAAATCTGGCGTAGAACAGAATGACCAGTTACTCTGGTGAGTGTTATGGACCATGGCCTTCTTGTATTCATGATCATGATCATAGAGAAAACGAACCTTAGCTACTCTCTTCCTTCAACAGCAACAAGAAAAAATTGCTTTATGGTATGCATATTTTCATTAACAAAGTTCAAATTTTGAATTATATTTTTTCCAGATTGATGAATAAACCACATGCATTATGTCGGAGGAATCTAGCCGGAGCACCTATTTAGCAACCAGGACACAAAGATGTACCTGTACAGTTGTTACAGATAATCTCAACGACACATTTCGAAATGATGGTCAAAAAAATCTAATAAAGACACTGTCAGTATTAAACTTTTTGAAAGAAATCCAGACCAGAAACAAAGGATATTGATTTTTAAGCTCCTCCAAATGTAAAAGGGGTTTTATTGAAACCAAGACCAGGATACACCCAAGGATATTGAATATTACACCCCTTCAACATAAAATTTTGAATTTTAGTTTGCCTATCTAGTCAAGAACATGGATTTTTTGACATTTGATACACTTTATAATGTTAATGTTATATGGACATTTTTTAAGATTTCTTTACTGTAAACTATATATTTCAGCAAAAAGTACATTTACAGATGATTTTTCAAAAATTGCTTTAAAAATACAATTGAAATATTTAGATAATGTCTCATAAATGGTTAATCACAGTTACCATAGAAACCAAATATTTTTTTTAAAAGTTAGGTACAAAAAAATGTTGTGTCTTTCAATATTTTAGCTAATGGCCACTCATACAGTTTTCTTTATACAAGCTTATCACATTGGCTAAATTGTATAGGCAAATACAATATTTTTGGAGATGTTGTCATGGTAACCAGATACAAATCACAAAGCATATTTAAAAAATATTTTTTCATGCATTTACAATAAACTGTGAAAATAATACATGTATGTTAGTCAATAATTATTTTGTATTTTATGGAGATTTTTAAAGACAATTTATTTAAAAAACATTTCCAGAATAATTTGTTACCTTGGTTACAAAAATTTATGAGAAATCCACTGGTTTTATCTAATATTTGCAAGGTTTAGGAGAACATTTTCTATCTTATATTATCAATTGTTTTTGTGCTTGTGGTATTTTTTCAACAACATACTATGAAAATGATGTATTTTGGTATTTTCTTGAAAAATGAATTTTAGTGATATTTTGTAGTCATGGTTACAGAATATTTTTGAAAAACCCATGGGTTTTGTTTTGTTTTATTAGAATTAAGAATGTGCTCTTTTTATTCCATGCTTTCAGTTTTCTTTACCTTGTGGGATTTTTTCTAACTGTGCTCTTAAAAATGGTTATTATTGTGAAAAATGATTTTTTGTGACATTTTGTTGCCATGGTAACAGAATATTATTTAAAAACCCATGGGTTTTATTTAATTTAATTGAAATTAAGAAAGTGCTCTTTCAATTCCACATAATCAGATTTCTTTAACATTTGGGATTTTTTCTTACTATGCTCCTAAAAACGGTTATTATTGTGAAAAATGAATTTTTGTGACATTTCGTTGCCATGGTTACAGAATATTTTTAAAAAACCCATGGGTTTTATTTAATTTTATTAAAATTAAGAATGTGCTCTTTCTATCCCATGTTATAAGATTTCTTCAACATGCGGGCCTTTTTCTTAATATGCTTCTAAAATATGTAGGATTTCATGAAATATTGTGAAAAGTGAATTTTATGAAATGACCTATGTTAAATTGAAATTCAGTACCTTTAATAAATCCTATATAATTTTATCCTTATGGTAATCATTTATCATTTTGTTTGTACTTCTCAAGAAAAAAAGATTTATTTATGGTACTATCATCAAAAAAGCTCTGTTCCTGTGTTCAATAATTATAGCTAAATTCACATTTTTTTTCAATTTTTTGCTTGGTTGCCATGTGCATTTACATGGTGCATTGTTTCCATGGCAACAAAGGCTGGCCAAAAAAATTATGTTGTCCAATGATGTTCCCTTGGTCCATGAAGCAACATATTAAAATTTTGTAAAAATCTGAATTGGTCATGAATCACCCCCTGCCTGGTTCTTACAAATAGCTGTACTTAATACCTATGAGCAGAGAAGAAGAATTTCAAAGAATTTATATATCGTATCGACATAAGAATGGAAATTACTATTGTTAATTGACGGTACATCGTCGATGTACTCGTATCTAAATGTCGAGTCGAAGGCCATAACAGGTGTTTTCTTTTCATGAATGAGATTTTGCACAAATTCTGCTTCATATGAATACAAAAATAGGTCTGCCAATGACGGGGCGCAACAGAACGTGTATGTATTTTCGGACACATTTTACCTTCCCTTTAGCGATACACATATATCGGGACGGAAATTTTTTTTAATCTTGCTTTAGTTATTTGCATATCATTTTAAAACATATTTCCTTTGCGTCTTTCGTTAGTTTCCTTGATACTTTTTTTAAAAATATTTGTTTCCTGATTTTATTGCAGTGTCAGGTCTGTTATTTCTGTGTATCGAACAAATCACTAATGTCCCTCTAAAATAGTTTGGATTTAAAAATATATTTGATAACTAGTTGTTTTTTAGGTCACAAATGAAAAAAAAACTATTGTGAGTGGTTAATTGTATGTTGTTTTACGTTCCGTTCTAGAATATTTCACTAGTGAATGGGTTCAAACTTTGACCTTTACTCGGCACTTGAAGCCATTGAACAGTAAGAGATCTTTATCGTCCCAATGTCTACTGCTACAAGGTACATCGGTTTTCAAGGTCTCATCCGAAGAACCCACAACTTTTATTCAAGGTGCCGAACATATTGTGAAGGAATACAAAATGCAAATCATTTATGTCTCAGAGACCAGAAGATCTTTTTGCGTTAGTAATGCGTCCGGTGACGTCCGTTTTTCTGAACAATTTTTATGCGCCCGAATTTATTCGGGGCGTATATTATTTTTGTCCTGTCTGTCTGTTTATCTGTTTCAACTTTAACCTTTGCCATATTTTTCGAACCGTGAGAGAAAGAGACTTCATATTTGGTATGCATATTCCACTAATTAAGCACTTTCAACTGACACCAAGGTCAATGACCTTGACCTAAATGCTAAAAATAGCTTTTTCGAACTTTCGCCATAACTTTTGAACCATAGGAGATAGAGACTTTATATTTGGTATGCATACTGCACTAATTCAGTGCTTTTGAATAGCAACAAGGTCAATGACCTTGTGACCTTGACTGTAACCTCATGTATATGCTAAAAATAGCTTTTTCGAACTTTCGCCATAACTTTTGAACCATAGGAGATAGAGACTTTATATTTGGTATGCATACTCCACTAATTAAGTGCTTTCAAATGACGCCAAGGGTAATGATCATGTGACCTTGACTGTGACCTATTTGCTAAAAATTGCTTTTTAGTACTTTGTTGCTGCTGGGCGTGTAGTGTTTCGCAAACACATCTTGTTCAAAATGCTACTCCTCCCACAGTTTTTGTCTGATTTCAATATTTGGCACACAAGCAGACTTCACTAAGATTCATAATTCTGTTTATCGGTTTTTGATTTCGATGAAGGATGTTTTCGTGGTTACTTAAAACAGAAATTTCTGTGAAATAGATTTTAAACGCTACTTCTCCTATAGTTTTAATCTGATTTCAGTATGACTTGGAACACTAATAGACTATACTAAAATTCATAATTCTATTTATCGTTATTGATTTTGAGGAACAGAGTTGCCGTGGTTACCATAAATTAGAAATTTCTGTGAAATATTTTTAAAATGCTACTCAGATTTGTTCTGATTTTAATATAATTTGGCACACACGTAGACTACACTAAGATACATTATTCTGTTTATCGGTTTTTGATTTCGAGGAACGGTGTTGCCGAGATTACTAAAAATAGAAATTTCTGTGAAATACTTTTTAAAATGCTCTCCTCCTACAGTTTTGATATGATTTTAATATAAATTGGCACACAAGTAGGCTACACTACAGATACACTTAAGATACACAATTCTTTGTATTGGTTTTTGATTTCAATGAACGATGTTGCCTTGGTTACTAGAAATAGAAATTTCTGTGAAATACTTTTAAAATCTTACTTCAATTTCAGTTTTAGGCTGATTATTATATAATTTAGCATACAAGTAGACAATACTTAAATACATTATTACAGTTTTGTGTTTTGATTTTGATGATTGATGTTGCCGTGGTGATAAAATTGAAAATTATGTAAAGTTTTATTAAAAACTACTCCTACAGTTGTAGCTTATCGCAATTTTGCCACAAAAAGAGACTTAATCAAGGATTATTATTTTATTTATTGCTTTTGTAAAGTTTAAAAGTCCCAACTTCTACTTTTCTTTTCCTTTATCATGAGTATAGACCATTAGAGCTACAGTCTTGACAGAGACTTCTAGTTTTTTAAATATACCAGAAAATAATTCTGAACTTTTAGTTTTAATGAAAATGTATGTCCAGAAACTTTCATAGCTGAAACTTGAAGTAAGGAATAGCTATAATTAATAACAAAAAACAATTAAGCGGGAAAAAAATCAAATATATATCCAGGTATCTCATTTGAGACCAGATGGCGCTAATGACAAGAGACAAGTCTTTACCAAAAAGATTAAAAAGGATAGTATAGTTATACCCTCCGCTTGAAAAGCGGGAGGGTATATAGTAATCGGTATGTCCGTCCGTCTGTACGTCCGTCCGTCCGTCTGTTACGCTTTGGGGTACTCATCTCTTATCCACAACTCCTCTCATACCACTGAAGGAAATTTAATGAAACTTTCATAGAATCTTTATTACATATTGCCATTGTGCACCTCCTTTACTTTTTGATCTGACATATATTTTGGATTTTCCAGAGCTAAACATGGGCACTGCCATTATATTCATATAGGAGGCGGGGGGGGGGGGGGTTATCATTTAGTGAGCTCATTGCTCACAGTACCTGTAATTTTTCTGAGTGTTGATTAGAACGATTGATTATTTGTGTTATTCACCGTCCCTCTCGATAATTCTTCACTCATATGGAGACGCCACCAATTGCAGCTGGAGAGCTACAAATTTTGCCCTCAATGTCGTTGAGGATCTTTTTCGTGCCAGCACCTACTTCGACACGGGACCTCGGTTTAAAGGGTCTCACCCAAAGGACAGGTCTCCTCGTCCCCACTGGGATTCGAACCCGAGACGTAAGGATGGACCCCTTACTTTGTGTCTCTAGAGCAGACGCTCTAACCCTGATAGTA